CGGCGTGGTCGCGCCTCAGCCCCGCGGCCCACGCCACGCAGCCGGACGTGTGCGAGAAAGGGGAATAACTGCAGCAACAAAGGGTGACTGCAGGCAGGCAGCGCAGCGCCGGGCGCCCACACGGCTGAGCGCTTGGCGCTGTTTATCCCAGCAGCGTGCTTGGAGTGAAAGCTGAGTGCTAATTATTGTTATTACTCGAATGTGTTTTGAATTCAGTCAAAATTCAGACCGAATCAAAGAGGCTCTTCTTCAGTTCTTGTTGTGAAAAAAAATTTCTGTCAAAGAGTCTGCAGTTTAAATAATACTATTAAATTACATCATTTTACTAAATTACATCATTTTACTATATAATTAATGGAAAGTGTTTTCAAACACTTTCTGAAAAATGATGCATTTCTGAGACCAAAGGCTGATGAAATCAGCAGCTAATTATCATCGGCTCTGATGGACGATGCCCTTCCCCTTCCCAGGATTTTCTGGCAAAACAATATGAAGTCAGAGGCTGGAAGTACAGGGGAGCAGACGCGCAGACTGAGGGGAGGTGGGTTAGAAGGGGAGGCCGTTGGAAGAGCAGAATTGCTCCCGAAGACTCTTGGAGCGCGAGGCGGGCAGCCTGCCCGCTGCTTGCTGCGGTACCGCACTCCTCTGCCTGTGCCTGCGGAATGCGCTTGGTAGCGCGACCGCAATATTGGTAAATTCCTTGGATCGTTGGGAAGTATTTTGATTGCATGTTTTGTGTCAAGAGCTGTGCGTATGAAACAAGGAATGTCAACACTGAGTACGTAGTGGCCGCCGAAAACGTACAGTTGCTCTTAGTTTAACGCCCATTTGTAATTACATATAGGTACAGAGTGAAGACGACTGACGCTGGTTCTTCCGCTCCTTGCAACAGGTTCTGGTGAGATACATGAGCTTTCCTTAGAGGAAATTCTGTGATGCTGGTACACGTTGAGTCTTCATAATCAAGACTGAATTCGTTAGTATTCTGCAAGATTTAAATGGAAGGGAAGAAGGGAAAGTATCATGTTCCTATTTGGAACACCTTCCAAGAAAATCAGAGTCTGTATCTCAGTGTGCTCCGAACCCTGGAAGACAGAGTATATTAAATCCTAGCACAAACCCTCTATTTAATGTGATGTGTGTGGCTCCCTGTGTGTCGGAGAACCACAGCTGACACTCATTTACTTTTTGGCGTATTCTCTTTGGAGATTTACAGGAAAGTAGCTCTGATTTGACTCGGAGACACTTACTGGTTTCCCTCTGTCTGTACCTTACCTTCAGAAACAGCAATGTGCGCAGAGCCAAATTCACCAAGCAGCACTGAAGTCTGCTCATGTCCAGCACGTTGGGTCTCTCTTGTGCACGCACCGGCGCATGCAAACCAGTGCTCTGCACATGTGGCAGCAGCCAGCACGAGCTCAGCCTCACCCAGGCTGCACTTACGGCTCTACAAGATTTCAACATTCTCTGCGTTGTTTCCAGGATTTGGCCTGGTTTGTTTCTTGCTGAGAAAATCGATGATACCAAGGTTTTTAACGCCGGGTCCTTGGAGCGCGCAGGTAGCCGGAACGCGTGGCTCTGCTCCGGGTGCGGTGCTCCGAGTGCAGCGCCCTCTCTCTGACCCCTGCCCTGTCGATCCTCTGCTTCGCTGGCCGGTTGAACGAAGCAGCCTCCTTTCCCGCGGCTGGGTCGCCTCTCGTCTCCGTCGTGCCGGGTCTAGGAACAGGGATACGTAGTACAGTCAAAATGCGCTCCAGCCTGCGAAAGGGCAGCCTGGCGACGTCTCGCTCCTCCTTCCCTCCCACACGCCTGCCCTCCTCTCTGGGCAGGCACCAGCGGCAGTGCCTGCTCCCCGTTTCTGTCCTGCGGCCTGCATTCAGCCCGGACGAAGACGTGCGTTGTAGGCTTGTGCTTTCTCTCCCTTTTACATATCTTCGATAACCCGCACTCCTGCCCCTTCTTTTCATCTCTCCAGGTTCATTATTCTCCCATACACTGAAGTGCTTTTTTGATTTTTTCAGTTCTGCAACTTTCTTACGATATAAAGTATGTAAAAATCAGGGCAAAAGTCAGTGAGCTTCGGCAGACGCGAGCTGCTGAGAAGGTAAATCCCCGTGTCCCGAGGCCAGGCAGGGCTCCTCCGCAAGCTGCTTTCCAGCAGATTCGGCGTGGCTTCGGCAAAGCTGTGCTAGAGCAGCTCCTTTCCTTCGCCTGTCCCGAGCAGCCGGGGCAGCAAGCACCAGGTTGCAGCTACCGCTGAGAAACAAACG